GGGAGAAAGGGGGAGGTGGTGGGCTACTCCCCATGCAAGAGCCCCGGTGAGACTAGAGGTGAGGAGTGCTTTCTGGCTCCCACACTGTCAGTCGAGACTGGGGCCAACAACATAGGCTGTCAGAGGGACAGAACTGGAATGAAGGGGTGACCCAGGCCCCGGAGAAGGCAAGAGGAGAGGAGGAGAGCGAGGGCACTGGTGAGAACAGGTCACCGAGAGAAGCCGGTGCGCACAGGATTACAGAAGGTTTTCATTTTCTTCCTTTTGTTCCTTTATTTCTTACAATTTTCTACACTGAAGACACATTTGGAGATGTTCAGGTGTTCAGATATTCAGATAACATCTAGACACAAACAAACTCAAAACAGAGAGGGAGGGGGATGAAGTGTGGGTTTCGCTCTATCCAAAGTTCTTAAAACAAGGTGGGATTTAAATAATTCAGTCCATTCATACGCAGTAAAAAAGACAACTGATATTAAATTATAGAAGAGGGGATAAAACCAAGGCCACCCTTTGACTTTTCCTTGAGAGAGAATGTGTATTCCCACACGATCGTGAGCACGTAGAGATCAGAACGAGATTTGTGTTGTTTTCTTCATGTAGTACCTATCACAGCATCGTCTGCAACCAAGTGCTTTTGATGACAATGACTTAAAAAGAAAAACACCCTTGCCCACCAGTGTGGCTCAGTGGTTGAGCATCAACCTATGAACCAGGAGGTCAGGGCACATGCCCAGATTGCGGGCTCGATGCCCAGTAGGGGGCATGCAGGAGGCAGCCAATCAATGATTCTCTCTCATCATTGATGTTTCTATCTCTCTAGAAAACACTGCCCCCCACAGTAAAGACAGATGATGGAGAAGGGCATCCCGCATACAAACCATAGCGGAGCAGCGATGTCATGGGGTGATGACCCATGTCTGGGGACGGGTGGGCAAGCAGACAAGCGAGGCTGGCTGATGGAGACACGTTCAAGGGGGAGGATGAAGGAGCCGCTGAGAGGCAGGGGCTAAGGAAAGACAGGACCCGTGGGATGAGGGGAAGGCTCTGTGCACTGGGACGGTACCTTTGTCCTAAACATCCGCGAGGGCACTGCACTGACATGCTATCGGTGCTCGCACCGGGGCTGTAGCAGCGCTACGGCTGACGATTACAGAAAGAGAAATCTAAGTGCAGGAACACTAGGTCGTTCCAGAAGTCAGCAGTGGGCCTGGGAAACCCACCGCAGGCTCTCACGTCCACAACGACCTGCTTTAGCGAGCGTGTAAGGGTGCAGGACACGGCTGCACCTCAGGCGGGTGAAGTGGGAGGCCGGCCTGGCTCCCGCGTGTTCGGAAGCCGGCCAGCAGCCTTCAGTGCACGCGGCCCTGGAGGTTTCAGTCTGCGAAGGCCTGACAAGCAGGATCTGAGATAGTCAATGAGGAAAGGAAGCAGCGGGTGGAAGAGCAGGTGGAGGGAGGGGAGCACCCTTTTCCTCTGGAGAACGTAGGCATGAGGATCTGCAAACAGCGGTGAGCAGCGGTCCTCCTGGGCTGCCACAGGCATGTCACGGAGCCAGGACCTCCCAGGAGCACTCCCTACAGACACCCAGGTGTGAGGACAGGGGCCTCACCAGTCCCTTGAAGGCAACCTGGTCCCTTCCACAATGGAGGGCTCAACAGGTAAACACAGGCCGCCCTCCCTCCTGCAGCGCTGCAGCATGGGAAGGGGTTCTGGAAAGACCTCTCTGAGCTGTGCAGACAGCAACGTTCCCGTTGAAGCCCGCAGGTGGCCAGCTCGAGTCCTCAGCTTGCCAGGTAGAGCAGAGACAGCAGTGAAGAAGGGTCTGGGAGCGGAGGGCCGGCTGCCCGCCTGCTGGGGTGGCAGAGGCACTCAGTCCCGGGGCAATGAAGGGGTGACCCAGGCCCCGGAGAAGGCAAGAGGAGAGGAGGAGAGCGAGGGCACTGGTGAGAACAGGTCACCGAGAGAAGCCGGTGCGCACAGGATTACAGAAGGTTTTCATTTTCTTCCTTTTGTTCCTTTATTTCTTACAATTTTCTACACTGAAGACACATTTGGAGATGTTCAGGTGTTCAGATATTCAGATAACATCTAGACACAAACAAACTCAAAACAGAGAGGGAGGGGGATGAAGTGTGGGTTTCGCTCTATCCAAAGTTCTTAAAACAAGGTGGGATTTAAATAATTCAGTCCATTCATACGCAGTAAAAAAGACAACTGATATTAAATTATAGAAGAGGGGATAAAACCAAGGCCACCCTTTGACTTTTCCTTGAGAGAGAATGTGTATTCCCACACGATCGTGAGCACGTAGAGATCAGAACGAGATTTGTGTTGTTTTCTTCATGTAGTACCTATCACAGCATCGTCTGCAACCAAGTGCTTTTGATGACAATGACTTAAAAAGAAAAACACCCTTGCCCACCAGTGTGGCTCAGTGGTTGAGCATCAACCTATGAACCAGGAGGTCAGGGCACATGCCCAGATTGCGGGCTCGATGCCCAGTAGGGGGCATGCAGGAGGCAGCCAATCAATGATTCTCTCTCATCATTGATGTTTCTATCTCTCTCTCCCTCTCCTTTCCTCTCCCAAATCAATAAAAAATATATTTAAAAAACCAAACAAAAATAAAATAAAAACACCCACCAGCCTTAAAAGATGGGGCAGATGTATATCCCTAATGTGCACATAGAATATCTTATTTTCTCAAGGCATCTCTTGAACTGCAGGGCCCTGGGTGGCCGGAGCCACCTGCTTTCACGTGGCACCTGGAGGCAAGCAAGTGCTCTGCGGGAGCCTGGGGGACGGCCTCACCTCGCTCTGCGGAAGGATGGAACACAGGGTCGCTCTTCGACCTTGTCATCGTGGGCTGGAGGGCTCTCCGGCTTCTCCCGGGATGTGGCTGGTCTGAGTTGGCAACTGAAGTGGATGCGCTTTCTTCCCCAGGTGTGTTAGGAATGTTCCCATCTAAGTATTTTTTTTAAGAGGAGAAACAAACATTATTTTGCCAGCTGCAGCCCTCAAAAATGTGGGCAGGAAACACCTGTGAGCCCAAACCTGCTGGGGCCAGGGCCGTACAGTTGACAACATTTGCTCAGGCGGCTGGCCCGAGCAGCTTTTATTTCCCGGCACTGTGGGAAACGCTGCCTCTCCCAACCACCGCTCCAGGCCTTAGACAAACACAACCTTCACTTCCAAATAACGAAGCCCTGCCAAAATGTCAGTGTTTCCGAAAGGTGCTTAGTGTCTTCTCCAGTGAAGCATCCCGGCGAGAGGGGAATGCGCATTACCGCACCATCGCCTCGGCATGGGGGAGCTCCGAGCCGGCTCACGCTTTCTGACCGTTCGGGAGGGGAAGGCTCTGTGCACTGGGACGATACCTTTGTCCTAAACATCCGCGAGGGCACTGCACTGACATGCTATCGGTGCTCGCACCGGGGCTGTAGCAGCGCTACGGCTGACGATTACAGAAAGAGAAATCTAAGTGCAGGAACACTAGGTCGTTCCAGAAGTCAGCAGTGGGCCTGGGAAACCCACCGCAGGCTCTCACGTCCACAACGACCTGCTTTAGCGAGCGTGTAAGGGTGCAGGACACGGCTGCACCTCAGGCGGGTGAAGTGGGAGGCCGGCCTGGCTCCCGCGTGTTCGGAAGCCGGCCAGCAGCCTTCAGCGCACGCGGCCCTGGAGGTTTCAGTCTGCGAAGGCCTGACAAGCAGGATCTGAGATAGTCAATGAGGAAAGGAAGCAGCGGGTGGAAGAGCAGGTGGAGGGAGGGGAGCACCCTTTTCCTCTGGAGAACGTAGGCATGAGGATCTGCAAACAGCGGTGAGCAGCAGTCCTCCTGGGCTGCCACAGGCATGTCACGGAGCCGGGACCTCCCAGGAGCACTCCCTACAGACACCCAGGTGTGAGGACAGGGGCCTCACCAGTCCCTTGAAGGCAACCTGGTCCCTTCCACAATGGAGGGCTCAACAGGTAAACACAGGCCGCCCTCCCTCCTGCAGCGCTGCAGCATGGGAAGGGGTTCTGGAAAGACCTCTCTGAGCTGTGCAGACAGCAACGTTCCCGTTGAAGCCCGCAGGTGGCCAGCTCGAGTCCTCAGCTTGCCAGGTAGAGCAGAGACAGCAGTGAAGAAGGGTCTGGGAGCGGAGGGCCGGCTGCCCGCCTGCTGGGGTGGCAGAGGCACTCAGTCCCGGGAGGTGAGGAGTGCTTTCTGGCTCCCACACTGTCAGTCGAGACTGGGGCCAACAACATAGGCTGTCAGAGGGACAGAACTGGAATGAAGGGGTGACCCAGGCCCCGGAGAAGGCAAGAGGAGAGGAGGAGAGCGAGGGCACTGGTGAGAACAGGTCACCGAGAGAAGCCGGTGCGCACAGGATTACAGAAGGTTTTCATTTTCTTCCTTTTGTTCCTTTATTTCTTACAATTTTCTACACTGAAGACACATTTGGAGATGTTCAGGTGTTCAGATATTCAGATAACATCTAGACACAAACAAACTCAAAACAGAGAGGGAGGGGGATGAAGTGTGGGTTTCGCTCTATCCAAAGTTCTTAAAACAAGGTGGGATTTAAATAATTCAGTCCATTCATACGCAGTAAAAAAGACAACTGATATTAAATTATAGAAGAGGGGATAAAACCAAGGCCACCCTTTGACTTTTCCTTGAGAGAGAATGTGTATTCCCACACGATCGTGAGCACGTAGAGATCAGAACGAGATTTGTGTTGTTTTCTTCATGTAGTACCTATCACAGCATCGTCTGCAACCAAGTGCTTTTGATGACAATGACTTAAAAAGAAAAACACCCTTGCCCACCAGTGTGGCTCAGTGGTTGAGCATCAACCTATGAACCAGGAGGTCAGGGCACATGCCCAGATTGCGGGCTCGATGCCCAGTAGGGGGCATGCAGGAGGCAGCCAATCAATGATTCTCTCTCATCATTGATGTTTCTATCTCTCTCTCCCTCTCCTTTCCTCTCCCAAATCAATAAAAAATATATTTAAAAAACCAAACAAAAATAAAATAAAAACACCCACCAGCCTTAAAAGATGGGGCAGATGTATATCCCTAATGTGCACATAGAATATCTTATTTTCTCAAGGCATCTCTTGAACTGCAGGGCCCTGGGTGGCCGGAGCCACCTGCTTTCACGTGGCACCTGGAGGCAAGCAAGTGCTCTGCGGGAGCCTGGGGGACGGCCTCACCTCGCTCTGCGGAAGGATGGAACACAGGGTCGCTCTTCGACCTTGTCATCGTGGGCTGGAGGGCTCTCCGGCTTCTTCCGGGATGTGGCTGGTCTGAGTTGGCAACTGAAGTGGATGCGCTTTCTTCCCCAGGTGTGTTAGGAATGTTCCCATCTAAGTATTTTTTTTAAGAGGAGAAACAAACATTATTTTGCCAGCTGCAGCCCTCAAAAATGTGGGCAGGAAACACCTGTGAGCCCAAACCTGCTGGGGCCAGGGCCGTACAGTTGACAACATTTGCTCAGGCGGCTGGCCCGAGCAGCTTTTATTTCCCGGCACTGTGGGAAACGCTGCCTCTCCCAACCACCGCTCCAGGCCTTAGACAAACACAACCTTCACTTCCAAATAACGAAGCCCTGCCAAAATGTCAGTGTTTCCGAAAGGTGCTTAGTGTCTTCTCCAGTGAAGCATCCCGGCAGAGAGGGAATGCGCATCACCGCACCATCGCCTCGGCATGGGGGAGCTCCGAGCCGGCTCACGCTTTCTGACCGTTCGGGACGGGCTTGGCGGGTGGGAAGTAATACCCGCACAGGTGAGGTGCTGCCCTGCGGGCTGCAGACCACGTGCAGGCAGGGGGTGTCTGCAGGCTGGGCCATGAAACTTCTGTTGAGCCAAGTTAAAGAGCCAGTAGCCACTGAACGCATCAGTGAAACCACTCTGGAATTGGGTGACTTCTGCTCGGGGAAATAAAACTCACATCCTTTGTGAGCCTGAGCTGTGGGCTGGGAAACTTTTTTTAAGAAGTGAAAGAATGGGAGAACGTATTTGACAATGATACATCTGATAAAGGGTTAATATCCAAAATATATAGGGAACTCATACAACTTAACAAAAGGAAGACAAGCAATCCAATTAAAAAATGGGCAAAGGACCTAAATAGACACTTCTCCAAAGGGGACAGACAGATGGCCAAGAGACATATGAAAACATGCTCAAAGTCACTGATCATCAGCGAAACACAAATTAAAACAACACGATTATCACCTCACACCTGTCAGAATGGCTACCATCAACAAATGACAGGTGCTGGAGAGGATGTGGAGAAAAGGGAACCCTCGTGCACTGCTGGTGAAAATGCAGACTGGTGCAGCCACTGTGGAGAACAGTATGGAGTTTCCTCAAAAAATTAAATATGGAACTCCCATTTGACCCAGTGAGCCTACTTCTAGGAATACATCCTAGGAAGCCCAAAATACCAATCAGAAAGGATGTATGCACCCCTATGTTCATAGCAGCACAATTTACAATAGCTAAGATGTGGAAACAGCCCAAGTGCCCATCAGTACATGAGTGGATAAAAAAGCTTTGGTACATCTACACCATGGAACACTAGCAGCAGTAAAAAAGAAGGATCTCTTACCCTCTGAGACAGCATGGAGGGACCTGGAGAGTATTATGCTAAGCGAAATAAGCCAGTCAGAGAAAGACAAGTATCACACGATCTCAGTTATGTGTGGAATCTAATGAACAAAATAAACTGAAGAACAAAATAGACCCAGAGACACAGAAGCATAGTACAGACTGTGGAATCTCAGAGGGAAGACGGAGGCCTTGGCATCGGTGTGTCCTGAGAGGTTTGCCTTGGGGGCAGGGGGCAGGGGGCAGGGGTGGGCTAGAAGGGGTCAATGAAGGAAAGGGGGGGACATATGTAATACTTTCAACAATAAAGATTTTTAAAAAGAAAAAAGAAATGGAAGAATTACAAACATACTCAGGAAACAGCGCACTGTGTAATTCTACGTAAGACCGAAGGTGAACGGGACAGAAACCCAACTCCAGTGGTGCTGCTGAAAAACCACCTCTGTCTATCAGAGCTAAAAGTTGATCCATTATTTATCACCGAGTGCAATTTTGTCCTGGTGGGCAATTTTCTGGGACACTTAAAACCTCTCCAAAGAGAGAAAGCTGCAACAATGTCCCCTTAAATGGCAAAGATAAATGCAAACCGACTCTAATATTTAATGCAGGACTGGAAATCAAAATTCACCGCATGTTAAGGCAGCATGGCCTGAGCATGATCTCACAGCAAATCACCCTTGTAAGAAATGAAATGCTTTTTTTTCCTCTCTTCAAAACAGCTCATCTTATTTTAACAGCAGAAGAAAAAATCTTAGGTTGGAAAACACAGGAATGCCAAATTAAACTCCAATCTATGTCCTAGGTCCCTGAGAATAGTCTGGTAACTCGTAACAGATTCTAGAATTATCTGTATTTCTGTTCAATGTTATCTCCCACTTGTACGCCCTAAACGTTGATAGTAGTTTTGCACCTGCAAAGGCTGTAGCTCCAAGAATATCTGACCTCCACCAAAGTACCATGGAGATCGTTATTTTACCACGTTTTAACTTACTGCCTCACAGGGGTGGGCAGTGACCGTGTGCATTACCTTGAGTCACCGGCACACCGATCGGTTCCATCGGGCTGGTGGCGGCTTCTGATCCCTCTGATATTTGGAATGAAGATGTCTGCATCTCAGGAAAAGAGAGGAATATTGGTTGATATTCAACTCAAGCATCATCTGGGCTCCGTGAACTTAAAAAGATCTGCAGAGCAAACGGTCTCCCATGGCTGTCTGTACCCAGCGCGGCTTTCCCTACTTGTGGTCAACATACCAGAGCGAACCTGCACGGACAGTACCTGCTCCCGTTCTGTCTCGTTCACCACAGCTTCGTACGGGGGCGGCGGGTCCAGAGGACAGAACACCTCCACGCCTTTGATTCTCGCTCCATAGATATGCGGCAGTGGGATCACGTCGGGACCAACCATCCTAGGAAAAGCATCTTGGCATCAGGAAGCACGTTCTACAAACAGGCCAGCAGACCTGGGCGGCTCCGCATGCTGGCCTTTGCCTCTAGATCAGCCGTGGGCAAACTACGGCCCGCGGGCCTGATCCGGCAGGTTGAAATGAATAAAACTAAAAAAAAAAAAAAGACCATACCCTTTTATGTAATGATGTTTACTTTGAATTTATATTAGTTCACACAAACACTCCATCCATGCTTTTGTTCCGGCCCTACGGTCCAGTTTAAGAACCCATTGTGGCCCTCGAGTCAAAAAGTTTGCCTACCCCTGCTAG